TGTACAAGAAAAAAGAAAAAGCGAACCCCAAAATGATAACAATAGTATTTTGGGGTTAAGGATAAAATTTTAAGAGCAGCTATCAGAGGTTCAATTTCAATAATTGAGAACGTCGTACATAATTGAATTCAAAGGCATGTAGTGGCTGCTGAAATTTGGAAAACTGTACCCACAAAAATCCTAAAGGTTCGTCCTCTTATTGTCTACCACGATTTTCCTTATTCTATTTTTAAAGGGAAAAAGAAATGGATCTTATCCAAGCGACAAAGAAAATGGAAAATCCAAAAGGAAAAGCCAACAAGATTATACACGAGTTTGGGCATTCCATAGAAATATTCTTTATTTATTGCACATATTTGGGGCACTTTGTTTAGTTGTTCCAAACTTATAACCATTTATATCTTTCGCCCTCAAATATCACTTGAATCTAACAGAACTGAAAGTTTCTGAATATTATATATGTACTATTAATAACAACTTGAAGCGAAACAGTTGATAATTAACAACGACACGGAAATATATTTCAAGCTATACTAATATAATATGCTAAGTGGTCATCAAAGAGAACAATCTCACGAAACCTCGACGTGGTCTTTATTGAAGCACTGAAGCCTAAACCCATAAATAGAAAAGCATATGTGTTCAACTTTTAAGATTCTTTGCATTAATCCATTGAATTTTAGTATTATAGTTCATATCTACTATTTATTACAAATTAAATAAAATTCACATATAAATATATGCTCTGTGTCAAAAGTATTGGTTTCAGATCATTTATTGCCGCAACCTGAATCCGCCTTTAACATATCATTAGCATTAAGCCGTTAACATTGAAGATTGGTAGCAACAAGAAACTGACACGATTTCATTTCATTATACAGATACAGATAGGTAAATGACACAAACCCACCAAGACGAGATAAGCCGACAAAAGCAAAGCATATCCGATGGCATTCATCAGCCACTCTACCAAATTGATATTCTTATTACCAATATTAGAGCCCGAATGCATATCTATTGTTGATGCCAAATGGCAAACATTCATAGGTGCCTCCATCATTTGTTGATTGTCTTTTTAGCTGATTAGGAGCACATTTGTACAAAAAAATAAACGAGAAATTTAACAAACCCATTTCAAAATTCTAGTGCTCGAGTTGGAAGCTTTAGTGCACAATGGATAGGACGATGACACAACAAAAGGGCAATAAGGGACCCTTTTGATATCGAACCCATCATATACTAAAAAGGTTAACTAATCAAAAAATGCTTTGTTTTATACATAGAAATTGAATTAAACCAAATAGAGCACTAACTGAAGGAAAAAAAATACATACAAAATGGAGAACTCTAAGACTAATATTGTATACTTCTAGTGTTGCTATAAAAATATGTGAACTGAGCACTCCTCATTTCATTGTCAATTAAAATAGCAAGTCTTGCAATTGTTTGTGAGTGAGAGATTAGCAAAGAGAGGAATTTCCATTTTTAGAAAAGACAAAGAGATGGCGGGTATTTCTGGTCACTGGGCATTTGCTTTTGGTGTCCTTGGTAAATCACTTTTTCTTGTTCCTTTGCTATCCGTATTAACTTTGTAGGATCTTACGGTAGATAGTGTCTAAGGGTGTCCAGAGGGCGGATGGGTCGATTTGGAAGGTCAAAATGGGCTGAGTCAATAAATGAGACGGTCATTGACCTACCCAAGAGTTACTTGGGTTGGGTCAAGATAGGCTAAAATTTGGGTTATAGCCGAACCCGCCTAATTTTTATCAAGCTTTAATTAATATGTGTTGTTTTCTTATGAATTGCTTAATTACAAAATATTTTTTTTCTTTGGTTATGGTCATACATAACATATCAAACAAAAGAAAATTATTTTAAAGATATTTTGGCAAAGTTATTCATGTATTAATTAAGCTAAAAATCAGCGTAAATTTAGATGGGCTGAAATGAGTTGAATGAAGATGAATTAAGTTCATGATCTGTCCGACCTTGGGCGGGTTGGGCGAGTCATGTTTTTCAGGGCCAATTTTGACACCTCTATTAGTGTCATTCTCGCTTCTTATTCTTTCTTCCTTTAATTTCTACAGTAATAGTCCGGAAATAGATATTGGTCAACAGTGGGCCAATTACAGTTATATTATGACTTAAGTTATAGACAAATCCATACAATATCTTAGTGGAAGTGTCAATTAATCATTTCATCGTACTGACGTATCCTCAATCATTAACGTAATAATTTAATCATTGCATGGACCTTTATGGGCATTTTATCTCTTCCAATGAATCATTATCTTTACGAAGAATTTCTTTTGTTGACCCCTTGAGTTTTCAATCTTGCTGGAAATATTGTCTCGTTTATTGTTTTTCTCTCTCCACTGTAGGTTAGCTATTGCCCGTATTCGTTTTACTTTATTTATACGATGTGTTTGCTCTAGACTAGTCATTTGAGTAATTGCATACTTATTTACTTGTAGGCCTACATTTTATAAAATTTACAAGAAGAAATCAACAAAAGGGTATCAGTCAATTCCGTATGTGATTGCTCTATTCAGTTCCATGCTTTAGGTGTTTTACAAACATGCTTTGAGTTTTCCTTTTTGTAAAAGGAAATTATAAATTCTTTTATATTTGGCTTTTCCCTTTTCTTGTAGGAAAATATTTGGAGTTCTATAAATTGAGGATCCGCCATTCCCATTCAGCAACATCCACAATGTAGCCATATGGGGTAGAGAGTCGTGTTTAGGGGGAGAACTTTATGGGACAAGTGGTGTGTCACTTGTGTTTGCCTCTTCATGAGGTTGTTCTCTCGATATTTTGTACTCTCTTTTTATATAGTGAATTGCTCATCTCCGTCGTGGACGTAGGTCAGTTGACCGAACCACGTTAAAATGTTTGTGTCTCTTTTGGTAGATTTCTCTTTTGTTGCATGATTTATCGTCGTTCAAGGTTTGCTTTGCTAGTTTCCGCATAATACCTGACTTTTGTTGTCCTAACAAGTGGTATCAGAGCGAAGTTCAAGACAGGTTCATCTTGGCGGGTTCAGTTCTAGCCGCAACATATTTGACGATAATCGTGATTTTTGTCAGAGAAATTTGACCGGTGTGCTATGCACGTTGAGACAAACTTTGTGGTGGAGATTTGGAAATGCGACCTATTGAAGATTATGTGAAGAAGATGGATCACGTTTATTTTGTCAGACAATTCTGGCCAAGGGAGTGTTGTTTTAGGTGTTTGTCCAGATTTTCTTACCATAATTGGTTTTCCTATCTCATGAAAGAAAGGACAACCTATTTACCATAATTGGGTTTTTCTTTTCCTAGAAGGAAAATATAATTCTTCCATATTTGGCTAGTCCTTTTTCTTGTAGGAAAAGGTTTAGAGTTCTATAAATTGAATATATGTCCTTCTCATTCAGCAGTGTCCACAATGTAGCCATAGGGACTTGAGAGTAGTGTTTAGGGGGAGAACTTTACGGGACAAGTGTTAGCGTGTCACTTGTGTTTGCCTCTTCGTGAGGTTGTTCTCTCGATATTTTGTACTCTCTTTTTATATAGTGAATTGCTCATCTCCGCCATGGATGTAGGTCGGTTGACCGAACCACGTTAAATATTTGTGTCTCTTTTGGTATTTCTCTTTTATTATTTGATTTATCGTCGTTGAAGGTTTGTTTTGCTAGCTTCCGCATGACATCTGATTTTTCCAGTCCTAACAAGTGGTATCAGAGCAAGGTTCAAGACATGTTCATCTTGGCGGGTTCAGTTCTAGCCGCAACATATTAGACGCTAATCATGATTTTTTTCTGAGAAATTTGACCAGTGTGCTACACACGTTGAGACAAACTTTATGGTGGAGATTTGGAGATGCGACCTGTTGAAGGCTATGTGAAGAAGGTGGATCAAGTTTATTTTGTCAAAAAATGCTGGCCAAGGGGGAGAATTGTTAGGTGTTTGCCATAATTTTCTTACCATATTTGGTTTTCCTATTTGTTGAAGGAAAGAACAATATAATTACCTTAATTGAGTTTTCCTTTTTGTAGAAGGAAATATTCTCCTATACTTGGCTAGTCCTTTTTCTTGTAGGAAAAGGTTTGAACTTCTATAAATTGAGAATCCTTCCTTCTCATTCAGCAACATCCACAATGTAGCCATATGGGGTTTGAGAGTCGTGTTTAGGGGGAGAACTTTACGGGACAAGTGTTAGTGTGTCACTTGTGTTTGCCTTTTCGTGAGGTTGTTCTCTCGATATTTTGTACTCTCTTTTATATAGTGGATTGGTCATCTCCGCTGTGGATATAAGTCAGTTGACCGAACCACGTTATATGTTTGTGTCTCTTTTGGTAGATTTTTCTTTTGTTATCTAATTTATCATCGTTGAAGGTTTGCTTTACTAGCTTCCGCATGACACCTGACATTTTTCGGTCCTAACAAGTGGTATCAGAGCGAGGTTCAAGACAGGTTCATCTTCGCAGGTTCTATTCTAGCCGCAACATATTTTGACGATAATCGTGATTTTTGTCTGAGAAATTTGACCGATGTGCTATGCACGTTGAGACAAACTTTGTGGTGGAGATTTGGAGATGCGACCTGTTGAAGGCTATGTGAAGAAGGTGGATCAAGTTTATTTTGTCGGGAAATTCAGGCCAAGGGGAAGAATTATTAGGTGTTTGTCCTGATTTCTTACTGTATTTGGTTTTCCCATCTCTTGAAGGAAAAAAGCAATATGATTTCCTTAATTAGGTTTTCCTTTTTGTAGAAGGAAATTATAATTCTCCTATATTTGGCTAGTCTTTTTTCTTGTAGGAAAAAGTTTCGACTTCAATAAATTGAGGATCTATCCTTCTCATTCAGTAGCATCCACAATATAGCCATATGGGATAGAGGGTCGTGTTTAGAGAGAGAACTTTATGGGACAAGTGTTAGTGTGTCACCTACGAAGTTGGCAACAACATTAGTGATGTTGGCATTGCTAGGTGATGCTCCTATGCTGTTTGTTTGAAAGTGCTATAGAAGACTCATTATTTGGACATAATGCTCATTTGTTAGATTGACATTTTGATCCTCTTCATGTGTTACTGAATCATCTTCCCTCTCATGAAACACATCAGCTGGGACTCCATGCACATTTGCCACGACTTCTTTTCCTCTGTTGAATCTGTGACCCTGAACTTGGTTTGAACTATTATTTTGATTGAACTGTTGAGTATTGGCTCGATTAGGATTTTGATTGTTGTATGAATTTCTTTGCGGATAGCCATGTAACTTGTAATACTTTTCCTTTGTGTGACCCGGTCTTTTGCAGTAGTCATAGAGTGGGCGACCTATATTGTTTGGAGTATAATGTGTTTTGAAATTTTTAGCTCCAAATGGACTTTGGTGTTGTGTAGGTGCATCATTTACATGTAATGAGGTAGATTCTAGGTTCAACTGACTACTTGGCCTGAACTCCCTTTGCTTCTCTTCCTGTATTAGGAGGGAAATGACTTGTGTCAAAGATGGTAGGGGCTTCATCCTCGGGATGCTTCCTCTCACTATTGTATAGACCTTAAACCCATCAAAAATTGAATTAGGCGTCGATCTTGTTTTGCCTTGTGCATTGTCTCTTTTGATCCACATGTGCAAATGTAATTGCACTGAGATTTGCACTCAGAGTGTTTAGTTCTTCCCACAATCTCTTCATTTGTGTATAGTAGGCAGTAATATCCAATGATCCCTGAACAAGGTCGTTGATCTCCTTTTGGATCTGATATAACTTTGCTCCATTTGTTTGATTGTATCGATCTTCCAGCTCCCTCCATAATTCAACAGAGTTATTTGCATACTCAACGCTATCAGAAATCTCCTTTGCAAAGGAATTGAGAATCCAGGAAGTTACCATATCGTCACATCTTTTCCATTGGCGAAATTGAGCTGAATTTGGGCTAGGTTTCCTACATTCTCCATTAATAAACCCTAGTTTGTTTTTAACCGATAAAGCTCGTAATACACTTCTTCTCCAAGATCTATATCCAATTCCGCCGAAAGGAACCGGCATTAACATCACTTCAGGACTGTCCGATGGATGAATATACAGAGGACTGCTTGCATCGATGACCGACTGCTCATTTCTGGTCGCATCGGATGTTGTTTCTTCGCTTTGATTTATGGCTATTTTTGAGAAGTTCTGATTGATGAAAATAGTCGATGTATCGATCGATTTTGTGAGCAGAAGAAATGATATCACTGAGGAACTCCGATTCGTGTGAAAATTTCAACAAAGATCAAGAGATCGAGAAACCCTAAAAATCGAAAAAAATGGAGGAATTTTGAGACACTGAAAGAAGAATTCCGGCAAACCTCGAGTAGATACGGTCAACCGGGCTGTGATACCATATCGAGATTAGCTTCGGACTGATAAGACCAAGCTCATGCAGGACCTCCAATGAAGGTTCTAGAGACTTCTGAGAAACAGAGAGAGAAAGAGAGAAAAAAGGCAGAAGATGAAAATGAAAATATCAGTTTTCTCATTATCACTGTAACAGAAATGTGTATGTATATATGTATATGTGCACACACGTGTGACAACTAACTACTCGTGTAATTAATTCTATGCTAACTATCAACTCTACTTAACTTGTATACAATACAAATACATGAAACATAGTAAATTATGTGCCTATTCTCAATAATGTCAACAAAATGGCTGCATGCAGTATTAATTAAGCCAGACAAAATGAAGGCTAATTCTGATTCACCTCTAGTGCTTCCCTTCATAGGATCATATTTGATGGGAATTAAGTTTGTTGTGTCATAACTAGGTTTCAATTGTGTTACATTTCTCCATTAAACCAATCTCCCTTAATCTTGGGACAATTTGTTCAACTCTCATGCTTTCTTTCCTTTCTTTATTATTAGAAAACTAACCGTTACGCTTTAATTGTCGAAAAAGAACTGTGAATTGGAATACCAATATTGGCCAAACTAAGAATTCGATGCTCGCGTCTTTTAAGCCCAATTAACTTAAGGTGCACATGACAACTTATTAAAGTTACACAGAAATCGGGTGCTAGCGGCTGAAATTAAGTGCACAGACATTTTGTACGGGACTAAGGTAGAATTATCGGTGTTGTTATTTGACCGAGGAGCAATTAGTTTTCTTTTTTATTTATTATACGCGATGTTATATATGTTAAAAAAAGGGCAGTCCGGTGCACTAAGCTCTCGCTATGCACGAGATCCAGGTAAGGGCCGAAGCAAAAAGATCTATTGTACACAGTCTTACCCTGCATTTTTGCAAAAGGCTATTTCCATGGCTCGAACCGGTGACCTCCTGATCACATAACAACAACTTTACCAATTACGTCAATGCTCCCCTTCAGATGTTAAAATATAAACTAAAAAGAAAACTAAGACACATAAATTGAAATAAATAGAGTAACTATATATTTTTTTATATTTGCATCTTTTTTAAATATCTTAGAGCTAAAACTTGACTCTTTAAATACAAAATTTTCCATATAGAATTAGTACAATCATTGTTAACTTTAGACTAGCAGTGGAGTAGTATTTATTGCTGGAAAACATCAATCATAATGGACAAGAGCAAACTTAGTTCGGACAATAGTGCAAAGATTCTTCCTCAGTTTTGGGTTCGTACACAAAGCTAATCCACTGCTGCATCACAGTAAGTGCATTATGGGTAGAGTCTACTGTATGGGTCCAAATTTGGACGACCATGATCGTTGATGAATACGACAAGCGACGAGATCCTCGTAGCTCGACATCCTGCAGGGGACGACAGATAATCGAACAAGAGACTCTATGACTTTTACAGTAGTGTAGGTCCGTTAGGAGGCATCAAGAATATTCTTTTAAATATTCTCCATGATTTGTCTTTTAGGGCTTAGAAAGGGTTTGTCCCTTATATATATAGCGTAGAAACAACCTTGTAAGCTTTTTCTTTTTCGGCTTCTCCAACGAAGAACATTCGCTATAACACTTGCTTAGATAAACGATTAATATCATCATTGCTCGATCATTCATCTTGATAAGGTCAAGAAATATTAACCTCTCTATTCACCTCGTATACCATTTGTTCTAGAGATTATTATACTTAGCTAAGATTTATCCCTTCGTTTTCTTTGATTGATTTGTTCAAAAAGGTTCCAATATCTTTTGAATCAAACAATTTGGCGCCGTCTGTGGGGATTTCTATAGCTGAGATTTTAGTTTCGTCTAGATCCTTGAAAGGGATAATCACCTCTTCTTAGCCTCGCAAAGACCAACAATGTCAGGAAAGGGGGAAGCAAGATTAAAGGCAATAGTAGTGTAAGTACGTGATTTTTGCCCTATATGAGAATTACTCCCAAAAAATTCAAAATAAAATGATTTTCCTTGGTGTGCAATTTTGAGAATTTTTGTGATATTTTTGGATAATTATTTGTATTTGTTTGCGCATGTTTGTTTGTTTAAATTAATAAAAATATTAAAATATGTCGCATTTCCGTTTTAGTATTTATTTAAGTTTGTTTACAAAAATGAGAAAATCATAAAAATAATGTACGTCGCATTTTGGCATTTAACGTTTAATCGTGCGATTTTATTGTTAATTGCTATCCTTATGTGCGATAATTTTTATTTGAAACTAATTATTATTTTTCGATAAGTTAATTTAGTTTGTTAACTTAATTTAAATTTTTTTAGTTTTATTAATTAGAAAGTAAAAGAAAAGAGAGCAAAAATACAAAGAAAAATCGGATTGGGCCATTTCTTCAATTATAAACCACAAGCCCCAAAGAGACCCAATCTTCCCAAACGACCCGGTCCATTTCAAACCGGGTCGACCCAGTCCATAACCCAACACCCCTATTTCCCTATCTTTCAAAAAAAAAAAAAATAACAAAACCCTAACATAATTGTTCACTGTGGAAGCCCGCCCCCCCTTTCCTTCTTCTTCCTCAAACTCCAAGCAAGACATCCATGGCTGCCCTGCCTATCCCCCTCAACACACACATACACACACACACACACGTCATTATTCATCACCCTCACGACCCCAGCTCGAACAAACAACCAAC